TACAAATATCTCCACTGGTGAAATTCAAAACGACTTCCCGATGTTATCACTAGGCAGGACTGAATTTTGGATAGTAGATTCATGTTTCTCTTTTCATGCATGGCTCAATAAAAATGTATTTAAAAATTACACTTAGCGTGATATAGGGAATGCTTATCTGGCAGATAACAACACTTGCAGTATTGTAGGAAATGGTGATGTTGATATTAGGTTGTCAAATAGAATAGTCTGTAAGCTTACTATTGTTATTGCATGTTCCAATCTCATTTCTGTAAGCCAGCTGACAAAGTCAGGACTTATGACTACTTTCACGGGTGATTCGTGGAAGGTTACCAAGGAGCACTAGTGATAGCTCGGGGCAACATTGAAGACATTCTTTACCTGATCAATGAAATGACTGATTTCATTGATGTGATTGGAATCAGGGTGGATACAAATTTGTGGCATCGTAGGTTTAATCATATGAATAAGAAAAGTATGAAGGCCCTAATTTCTAAAAATAAACTTTAGGGTTTGAAATCAGTTAATCTGAATTTCTGTGAAGACTGTATATGTGACAAGCAAAAGAATGTCTTTTTCTTTAAAAGCGAGTCTGTGGTGAAGTCAAATAAATTGGAGTTAGTGCATACTGATGTGTGGGGCCTTACTCTAGTTTATTCCATTGGAGGTTTTTGCTATTTTGTCACATTTATTGATGACACATGAGCAAAGTAGGGGTTTACTTCTTAAAGCAAAAATTTGATGTATTTAAATCTTTAAGTGGAAGTCTATGAAGATTAGATAATATGGGCGAGCATCGTGATCAAAAGTTTATGAATTTCTAAGCTACAGAGGGGGTTAGGCATGAGTTCACTGAGCACATGAACAAAACAATCACGGAGCATGCTAGGAGTATGAGGTTGAATGCAAGCTTGCCAAAATAGTTTTGGGCTGATGTAGTAAACACTCCGGTTTTATTTGATTAATCGCGATCCATCAGTACCTTAGGAGGAAGGCTTACTTGAAGAAGCCTGAAGTGATAAAATGATAAATCTGCCTCATTTAAGAGTATGTAGGTGTTCTGCATATGTGCATGTTGATGCAGGTTGCAGGAGCAAGCTTAACTCGAAATCTGTCAAATGCGCCTTTATTGGATATGAATCAGATGAGTTTGGGTGAAAGTTCTGGGATTACCAGAATCATAAATTCATCAGGAGCAGGGATATCACTTGCAGTGAAATGGGAATATGCAAAAATAGGATCAGAACTCAGAACAATCTGTCAGCTACTTCTAAAGAGTCCAACTATATTGAGATAGAAGACACTGGTGATCGAGAGATTGGAGAAAGAAATACTGCTCAACCAGAAGGAGCACTGGAAGTTTTCCAATCACTACTACTGAATTCATAAGATTCAGCAGAGTGATATGACCCGTTTAGAGGTATTCTCCTTCATTACATTATTTGTTATTAACTGATAGTAGTGAAGCAGAGTGTTTTGAAGAGGCCACTCAGGTTGAAGATTCAAGGGAGTAAGAGCTTGCCATAAATGAAGAAATGCAGTTTTGAAGTCAAATCAGACTTGGGACTTGATGGTATTGCTAGAAGACAAAAATAACACTACGCAACAAGTGGGTCTACAGGCTAAACGAGGAGTCAAATGGTAGCAAGCGTTACAAGACAAAACTTGTTGTGAAGGGTTTCCAGCAGAAGGAATGAGTGAATTATATATAGATCTTTTCCATAGTGGTGAAGGTGATAACTGTCTGGGTTGTATTGAATTTGGTAGCGGTGAATGATCTACATTTGGAGTACATGGATGTAAAAAACAACTTTCTTACATGAGATTTGGAGGAGAAATTATATATGGTGTAACCATAGAGCTATAAGGTTTCAGACAAATAAGGTTTGGTTTGCAGGTTGAAAAAGAGCCTCTATAGCTGGAACAGACCCCAAGATAGTGGTACATGAGGTTGACAAGTTTATGTCAGATAGCGGGTACTTGATGTGCCTGACAGACTACAATTGCTTCATCAAACAATTCAGTATTTGTTATATCTTATTTTTTTATTTGTGGATGACATACTGATTGCAGAAGTAGATATAGAGAAAATCAAGGACTTAAAGGAACAATTATCAAGTGGGGTTGAGATAAATGATTTAAGTTCAACTAGAAAAATTATTGGGACGAGAATCAACAGTGATAGGATTGTAGGAACACTGAAGTCTCAGATAGAATATGTTAAGAAAATCCTATAGAGGTTGAACACGAGTGAGGTAAAGCCAGTGGTAGTCAATTTAAACGTACTAAGAAGCTATCAACTAACTCTGAAGCAGAGCAAACATAGATGGAGAAAACTTTGTATGCTTTTGCAGTTTGAATTTTGATGTACACAATGCCAGTGAGAGTGGTCAGCAAGTACACGGGCAATCCAGACATGCAACATTGAGAGGCGGTAAAGTTGATTCTCAGGTACTTGAGGGGAATAATCAACATGACATTTTGCTCTGGAAGTGCAGTGGATTGGTTTACAAGAATTTATAGATTCAAAATTGGCAGATGTGGATAGTAGAAGAAGTACAACAGAGTATATTTTTACATTAGGAAAATATCGCTGAGTTGGGTTTCCAGGTTGAAGAAGATCGTTGCACTTTCAACTACGGAGGCCGAATATATTGCTATCACTAAGGCTAGCAAGGAGATGATTCAACTAAAGAGTTTTATTGTAGAATTAGGCAAGGAGCAGGAGATTGAAAAACTTCATAGTGACAATATGAGTGCGATCTATCTTACTAAGAATGCTTTTTTTCATGCTAGGACAAAATATATTTAGTTGAAGTATCATTTCATTTGCTCTCTCTTAGAAGATGACTAGTTGTTCTTGGAGTAGATACATACAATTCAAAGTGCTGCGGATATGTTAAGGAAGGTGGTAACAATTGAGAAACTGAAGCCATGTTTGGCTTCGGTAGGATTTTATAAAGATTGAGACTGAGGGTAAGCCACGCCGCGGTTCGTGACTATGAAAGTGATACAGATGAAGGTGCAAATATGGAGGACAGGTGTTGGGTGAAATCAGTCTCTAAGTCGGAGATTGTTATGGCGTGAAGCCTAATTTGGAGCATGAGCACCAAGATTGCCATACCGAGCGCTTATCGCTTTAGCGCTCTGCGCCCACCTCTCAGGTTTGAGAGTTCAACACTCTTTTTTCTTTTCCTGAGCCACAGGCGCTAAACTGGACGTATTGCGCCTAATGCGGTTGGCCCACAACGATTCGATTTAAGAAGCTTTTTTGAAGCAGTGAAGGATGCGAGTTGTAGCGAGGAAGTTCTAGAGTTCAAGTTTCTTTGACATTTTTCCGGTGAATGTGAGAAGCGTCAGAGAGGAGAATTTTGCACGTGTTTCTCTTGTCAGATCAAGAGGGAGGAGTTGGAGCGATGCCTTGTAAGTTCTTTCGATTGTAGAGAGGAAATCTGATTGAGATCTTTGTAAAACTTTCTGGTTCATAGTGGAAATTTCTTGGTGATGCGGCTCCTTTGTTTTTTCCCATTCTTGATGATTTCCACGTTAAAGGCTTGTGTGCTTTTCAGGATTGTCTTTGTTGCGCTTTTGTTCATAATTTTGTTCCGGTTTTTTCGAATCCGTGCGATTCTATTCCGTGATGTAGTTTTTTTTCTGAACCTAAGCGTAAGGGGATTGCTTCATTCCCAGCAACTCCTATTTGATTTCAGTAATAAATTTGCATTTTCTGTTGTTGTTTGGTAAACTCCGGTATCAGGTCAACCAAAATTGTTAGCTCTGTTAACTAAGTGTTTTGATATAACAAAATCAACAGTACGTAAGCTGAATGAAATGACAACTTTGTTTCTAAACCTAATCACTAGTAGGTAACAATGGTGATCATAGGATGTTTCTGTAGTTATTGGAGTGGCAAACCGTGAGAATTCCTATGAATCGATGAAATATGATTGATTTATGTTCATCTTAGCTAAGCAATTTTCATTACAGACTAAGTCGATGAAGACCCTTTGCCTGAAAAATCTGGTTAGGAAAAACTATTGAGCCAAATTTATTAGAAATTTCATTACGACTAAAGTTGGAGTGCAAAATTTAGACCCTCTTTTATCGCTTTGTGGAATGTTAGTACAATAGTGTCTCGAAGAATCTTGTCTCCCTCTTTTCTCTTTAAGGGATGTGTGCACAAGATTGTATACAAATCTGTCCTATAGAAAGAGTGGCCTTTTTTTTTTTTTTTGAGATTTCTTTGGTATATTTTGTCATTATTGGGATGCTGACTTCATCAAATTCACTATATGTAGTGGGGATGGGGCCTTAGCAGCACCGTATTTTTTCAATATTTGCATCATTTTTGTTAGTTTCAGAACTTTTGGAAGGTAATTTCAATCTCTTCTGCAAGAAAAATTACGAGTTGCAAGCCTCATAATAAGTACCAAAAGATTCAAGACTGCCTAAAATATTTTTGAATTTTTTTTTGAATTTGCATGATATTCTTCCTATCTTTTCATTAATGTTTCTTGATTTTTTTTTCTTTACTCAGATTTGTTCTCTTTATTTTTTTTTTCTTCTTTTCCATTAAAAAATATCTCATATTCTCTGGAGCATTCCTCATCCTCATGCTTCGCTCAAGCGCATGTTTGCGGAATAGAACAACTAGTTGATTGAAATGTTGATCGTGACCTTTCATTTTATGAAATTGGCAATGTGATTTCATGCTTACTAGAAGTTTGATTAATTTTACTTTTGGAAGTTCAACAGAACTTCCGTCATCCACACTTTATTTTCTTAATGAACTGTTTTGGTTTATTTTACAATTAATTGACCTCCTTATCAGAAGCTTTGACGTTCCTCATTTACTCAATGATTGGCAATAACAATTTAATGAATTTCTAGATCAATAGTTTTAAATTTTAATGAATTTTTGTTTCAGTCTAGACAAGTATTGATAAAATTAAACGTTGCGGCTATGAAAATTACTAACTCTTTTCAGCCTAATGCTGTAGGTCCTCATAACTCCAATTCTTGATGGACAAGCACTGCTTTATTCTTTTGAGTCTACTCCTGATGTTAGAATAGGTGTTGCATTTGGTAGCGGTAATGGTCAAACACTTCCAGCAACAGAATTGCCTGGGGTCTCAACTTGGCTGGTATGTCGACTATTCCTTTCTAGGTCATTTCCTTGTAATTTAATCCTAGTTGTAAAATTGAGAAGATTTACATACATACCACACAACTCTTATTTATTTTCATATCTAACACCTAAACATTAATTTCTATGTATTTACCATCTTCTGAATAAAAAAGGTGTACTTCATCTTTTAAAGGTTAAAGTGGAGGCATCTTTGATGTGATATGCAAGATTCGGGTGGTACAAATGTAAAAAACAATCATTAGGTGTTGAATATGTAAATACATAAGAATTGGGTGGTTGTTGACGTAAAAAAATTATTGAAGTCATCAATTTTATTAGTTAGGTTAATTAAACTTAACTAATATTATTAATTAGATTAATTTATCATAGTTAATATTAAGTCATCTGCACACCCACTCCCACTCCCACTCAATGCTTGTAACTATTTGCGCGAGATTGGCATATGCTTCATATTCAAACACAAATTTGAAAGTCCTCATTTTAACATGTCCAAATCCTGTTTATCTTTCCCGTTCTAAAGGCACATAGAATCCTCAAAGGTTGTTGTTGTGTTTAGAGCTTTGAGGGTCAAAGTTTTCAGAAGGTTGATGAGATAGTAGATAAGACACTACCCAGAGGTTTCACTCTCATCTCGCAAGGATTTTTTTTATCTTGGATTCGTGGTTTCCTATAGGGGCAAGCCCCTATGATTAATTACTTCACCCGATAGTAGGAGAGCATTTTCAATTAACACTAGTCATTTAACACTAGATATTTTACATATAATAGTAGCAAATAACAATTTAAGTTGTAAAACTTATCACTTGGAGCTTAAAGCAGATGAATGGGTAAATGATGACAAATGCAATCAACATCCCATGGTTCCGTCGTTTCGGGAGGTAGTGGTCCTTGATTTACTTAGTCAGAGGAGGTATTCACAACTCAAAGGGCAAAGTGGTCCTTGATTTACTTAGTCAGAGGAGGTATTCGAACCAACCTGACTGAAGGATTCTTATAGATATTGGGCGAAGGTTTGTCTAGGGGTCGCATTTAAGTCAACCTTAGCCAACAAAAGACTTTGTCAAGTGGATGTATTTTTATGGTTCACAACTCAAAGGGCAGAAAACTATTAAGGAGCATATATGTTGCAATCATAATTATAATATAATGATTTTATTTGGCGGCAACCATCCAGTCAGAGGGCTCTAGTTGTAACAACAATTTTGTAGAGCTTTTGGGCTAGATCATATAGATAGAGGACTCGAGTCATGTCCTTGCTGACGTGAAATTACTTTGAGTGTTAATATAATAGTACAATCAATGTGACTAGCTCGTTTTTGAGTTGAAGTTTATCAAAAGTTTGTTAGCCTTGACAAACTATTATGCAGGGAGATATAAATTTGTTTTAAGTCTTTTTTAAGTGAATAATTTTACTTAAATATTTTGATTGGTTTTTTTTGAAAATATTGATTTAAAAAATTGACCCCCAGTTAAAATATTCTATCAACTCGATCATACAACAACAACGAAGCCTTAATTGCACTACGTGGGGTCGGCTACATGAATCCTTTTTCTCCATTGCATCCTATTTAGTGTCACATTTTCATTTAGTTCTAATAAATTAAGATCATTTTTTGTAATAAGCCCAAGTTTTCCTAGGTCCATCTCTGCCTTTCTTAACATAAGTCAAATCTAAAACATCTATTCTCCTAATCGGATCATCAGATGATCGACGCTTAATGGGACCAAATCATCAACTCGATCATCATCAAATAATTTTATATTTAGAACTTTGATATTTGAAATTTGTTTGAGTTTTGTGTTTTAAAATTCTTAGGAGACAAGTCATGTCGATTCCAGTCTCAACAAGGAGAAGGATCAGGCTAGGCGATTTGGACTTATAAATTCTTATATATATGATATGGATAATATTAGAACATACTAGACTCATCAACCCCAGGCCTTAGAAGAGAAAGATCAGGTTAGTTTGATGGGACTTCCAACATTTTATATTTTTAGTTTGGACATTTATCTCTAAATTAGTAGACTCTTCAACTCAAGTACTTACAAGTAATAGGATTAGATTAGTTGGGAGGGACTTAAAACTCTGTCATATAGAAGACAACCTGATGGATTGCTTTCAAATAGGACCAGACTAGTTGGATGGGACTAAGAACTCTGTCCTATGAAACACGATAGGAGTGATTGCTTTCAAAATACGAATTATTTGAATTCAAGTTTAGCTTTTATATGTCATCCTTCCTAAACTATTTGTTAAAGCATTTAGAACTTTAGTTGGAGCCCATGCGAGCATTCATGACTCAACATATTTTTTCAAAACATTCACATGATAAACATGCATGCTTTTTGATGTGTTTATATAACTTGAAAGCACTCCCATAATTATATGAGAAGATTTTTATGTACTTTCACGAACTCCAGAGCATTATATCAAATTAGATATCAACTTGAAGCTCATGAGCTACGTTCAAAACATTTGAAAGTTTATGTGAATTTTAGAACTTTAGAATGCTTACAATGTTTTATTTTGAGCTTTAAAAGTGTCTTCTTCATTTCTCTAGCAGAAATGTTGCGAATTCAGTGGCGATGACTTTCCCCTAATTTGTACTACCTTTGAACCCTAGGAACCTAAGTTTGAAAGCCCAAAATTTTAAATATTTTTAAAAGGTTAAGAGCCTAAATTTTAAAAACCCTGATCCCGTATATTTTTGACCCTAGGAGTCTAGATTTTAAAACCTCAAAATTTCAAATTATTTTAGAATTCAGATGATTCACAGTAGCCTTCCAATGTCAACTCTACTTAAGGGGTATCGGGAGAATGTCAACTTGCTCAACTATCTATAAGATGCGATTGCCAGTGTCCTACGACACTGTAACCAGGGAGCTAAATAGAACATTTACCCTCGGTCTATAAGACATTATGGGCCTTTGGAGTATTTGCAAGTAGTTAAATCACAAGCACAAGTTTTCCTGAATAAGTACCTTTTTTTCCCTGACGGTACTTAATTCCATTTCGAGCGAGATCTGTGACAACAACGTTAATCGGCGTTGACGACGATGTCAAAATAAAACAGACAATATTTTTTATTTGATTTTTTTATATATATGATATATATAAGTAATAAATTAGGAAAAGAATAAAGGCATGTCTTATGCTAAGGAGCGAAGCTCTAGCGCAACTCTTGAGTGCGTTTTGGGCACAGGAGAGAACAACAAGAAATTCCAATCGGGATGGAGTGATAGGAGAAATGTGGAGCTTTGGGATTCTTTGTATGTCAAATTCTCGTCACGTGCTATGAAGAGAAGGAGCAAATAGTGGGGTCGTGCGATCCTGTGTTCGGGATAGAGGCAGGTAGAAAAACTTCGACTAGGGCTTTCGGTAGTCGTCTTTGTATGTCAAATTCTCGTCACGTGCTATGAAGCGAAGGAGCAAATAGTGGGGTCGTGCATAAGGTTCTCGTGCATAAGGCTTTCGGTAGTCGGAAACACAACACAAGGAGAATTGAGTGGCTCTGCACTATGCAAGGAGGGTTCGTGCATAAGGTTCTCGTGTTTGGGCAGACGGTTGACAGGTTGGGTCACTAGAGAGAAGAAGCAAAAAGTTTTTGTCATGGGTTTTAATAAGAAGAGAGGAAGTGCAGGGTTTTTCAAGTGTGGTGAGTGGGTGAGACAGACATTCAAGTGTAGAAGTAGCACGCGAAAAAAGACATAGTAGAGGGCAGCGTGGAGGGAGCGACGACTCTGGTCACAAGGAGCAGAGGATTTTATTACAGAGTTTCATAGGTCTCTGAAAGATGTGATCCCGTCGTTACCTTATTAATGGCCTCTAACCACAACTGTATTTCAAGTGAGAAAAAGAAGTGCGGGCTTGTGCGATTGGAGATAGGATCACAACTTGCAGGAGTCGAAGGCATTGCAGTTTGAAGAGGAAGGACAAGAGGACTTGAACGTGTCTTCAGTTGAAGAATGAGATAAAGAGTGGAGATTTTGGAGGTCTCCGTATGCTGCGAGCCCGTCGTTGCTTTCCCAACTTATTCTTGTTGCGACTGTTTCACGAAGGCCGATAGATAGGGGAAGTTGCGCGAACAAGATGAAAGGAGGGAGTCGGGGTTGTGACTTTGCTTTGTGCAAAAAACGAAGAAATGAAACAGAGGGAATGGTGAAGGCTTTTGTAGCTGGAGTGTGTGAGGAGGAGGATTTTATGATCAGTTAGAAGCACATTCTTGTGTTACAAGAGAGTTTTCAGAAAAATGTTCTAACATTTCCTTTAACTTACGCTTTCTCTGAACAATTTGAAAGTCTTATTGTTAGGCTTGTATAATAATTTGTTAGAAAGAGTGAGGAGCAATTGAGATTGACTCATGCTGGCTTACATTTGATGAAACATATTCCAGCTGGGATTGATGATATTCTTCATCCTATTATTCTCAACTTACTGGGGATTGAGGAATGACCATAATCATATTCTGCTGACATAAATTTGATTACGCCTCTACCTGCGACGCTTAAGTGAGGGCCATCTATTTGATTTTGCCTTACTCATTTAATCTGTTGAGATAACTTCAATATTTAGGTTAACTTATCGAGATGGATAAGCTTCAGTGTGATAGTTATTGTCATTAGATGGATATAAGAAGGGCTTTTTCACTACAATTGTTTTTATGGCTTGTTGAGTGAGAAGAACACTCAACAACTCAACTATATTTAATCTTGTTGACTCCTACCTTTAGAACCTGCTTGTGTCCTAGACTTGAACTGTAAACCAACTTGTGTTTCTCCAACTTGACTTGTTGAATTTCATGAGAAAATTCTCTTACTTGACTTTCAAAATTGTGACAAATATGAGAAATGAACCTCTGATTTTTGAAATTATCTTGGCTACAATTTGCTTGAAGATAGATACATTTCTGTTCAATTGATTGAGTATAATTTTAACAATTTCGTGTTAAAAGTTCAAGTGGTGATCTTGCATTGGACACGACGTCAACCCAGACGATAAAATATAAAATATATTTGAGTAGCTTGGCTTAAGGCTCAATGTCAACCCAAAATATGAGAGAAACATATTGAGGATCTTTGCTCAAGGCTCAACTACGATCCAAATAAAATAAGTGTCCCTTTGTCATGATAGCAAGGACAAGTCTTTTTTTTGGATTGTCAAACTGAGCACATTTTTATTATTGACTACTTGAACATCCTCTGAGGGATCTCGTCATAATGCACGATGTCATTTGAGTTACTTGGGGACCTTGATCATCAATATGATATCTACCCAAATGGAAGAATATCTCGGTATTATGTGTAATGTCGACCCTTTTAGCTAAGGGATCTCACTCTTGTATTTGATATTTACGCAAAAGGATGAGTCCCTTGTCTGGTAAAGAAGGGGATTCAATATTTGAGGCTCTCAAAAGTTTTAAATTTTAGAATGATGTTAACTTGAATTTAGAATTTTTGAAATATTTTTCCCTCATCTAAAAAGAATGGAATGACTTGAGTTTACAATGCATATATGGATTTCGGCTATGGGCACGATACAACCTGAATGATAGCTTTTGACTTGGATCTCAGTGCTACCTCGAATGACTGTTTCTCTTTTTTGAAAAAAAAGTGATTTTAAAACTTGGTAGATATATATGGGGATCTCGACATTTAGCGCAATGTCGACCCAGATGATTAAGAAGACCCATTTTCTTGCAAAAGAAATTCTAATGATGCTTAGGTTTTTTTGGGGATTTTTGCTTAGAGCACGGTGTCGACCCAATTAAATTAAAAAAAATGCCCGTCTTGCTTCGGGAAATTTCATGATAACGTAAATGTTCTTGTATCATAAGAGAATTCCAATGAAATATTACACTTGTGCTGGATAAAGCATATATTCTTATTTTCTCAAAAGAAGCTTTAATAATAGTTTTTACTAGGGTGCTAGGTGTAAAGCCTTTTTGAACATTGATCATTAATTGGTGATATTGACCGTTGACTATGTAAGTCAATCACAGGCTCCTCTTTACATGGCTTCTAGATGATGGAATTTTTTTTGAAGTTAGGTTCAAATTTTCTGCCAACTATAAGTTTGATGATTCCATTGCTAAAACTTTCTCATCTTCCATTGATGGGAATTAAAGATACATCTATATCCGATTGCTTTTGAGACGTTGGGGAGTGAGGAATGATCAGAGTCATATCCTACTAGCATGAATTCAATTATCCTTCCACCTCCAGAGTTGAAGATATTCTCCAATTGGTTGTTCTCGATTTATTGGAGAGTGAGGAATGACAAAATATATGTCATACTATTAAAAATATGATATCCCCTCTACCTACAGGGTTAAAGTTTGCTGACAATGGGATCTCTTGATATGCTTTACAAACTGTCGATCATTAGGAGATTCATTAATAAGCATTCTTCAAAATTCATCTTTGAGTGTTCTTGTTAATGGTAGATCTCTAAGAGCTTAAATCAGATGTCACACCAAATCCTTCTCTGATTATATCACATTCATGAATCTTGAGCTATCATAGCAGATTGTAGATAGCATATTTTATTGAAGTTTTGTTGGTTTCAATCATTATAAGTTTTTTTTTTTTGACACATTATCTTCATTGAAGCTCCTTTCCTTGACAACTTTGAAAATCTTGTACGCTTTAGTAGAAGTTGTAGGCTACTTATTTTTAGTAGGAATGACTTAATATTGTCGAGTCCAAAAACATTGTTCAATTTCACCTGGAGAGCTATTCATTTTAACCCATTCTAGACTTTTGAATTAGCTGTGGGTATGAATACTCATTCACGGGATTGGAGCTTATTGAATAATTTATTTCTTGAGCAATAGTTGTTGAGCTCTCAGTTTGATAAATTTAGTTCATTTTTTCCTTCTAGATAGTTTTCTTCTTGATGATGAAACTTCAACATTGTATCTAAACATATCGAACCATTTTGATGTAGCTCTGAACATATATAACAGTGATCATAGCATCAATGATGAGAATTTCCAAACCATCTAGCTGGATAATGGCCATGATTAGCGGGATTCCTCTTGGGCGAGTTTTCTTAATTGGAAAGAACAAGATAACTCCTTAAAGTGTCCACCATTGTGATAATTGCTAGTAGCAATATATTATTCCAAAATTCAAGGGTGATAGTTTAGATTTCTTTCCATTGACATTCTTGTCTTTTTGTAGAATCTTTTGATTGTTAATATTTGGACCTGAAATTCAAATATCATACCCCATTGCTTATAAACAAAATTTTTTCATTTTGTTGGGACCTTTTGATAGTAGATTCTCGGATTAAGATCTAAGGGTCATACATCGGTGCTCACCAGATAATTTATTTTCTATTGGGACCAGAAGATTCCTGAATTAAAATCCAGTTCACATCCAATGATGCTCTCCATATAGAATTTACCTAAGTTTCAAGTGATTGCAATATTCTAAAGCAATTTTAGCTTTTTATTTATTTTTTTGCCAATTTTAAGCTGCTATTATAATAAAGAGCTGACCAACCAAAGATGGAAAAAGAAATCTTTTCCAACGAAGTTGCCAAAAATCTATGGGCTTCGAAATTTCAACCCTCCAGATACTCTCACATTTGTTGTTGTGTTGAGAGATTTGAGGGTTTCTGCATGTCTTTAGAACGGGAAGGAAGAACAGGATTTGGAGACGGGGCGAGTTATGTATGAGACATGCGAAAATGAGGTGATGCGGGGCTCAGGGGGCTGATCTAGTGGAAACTGCTCAACTGGCTCAGCTAGGTGAAGCAAGGGCCGATCGGCCCTTGGTCTGGACTAGGTTTGCCACCCACTCCTATTTATCTACTATTTATATATTTATTATTTTCTATTTTAGATTTAGTTTTTGCTTTGAGATTTTTGTCAGGACAGTCTTAGGCATCTCCTTTTTACTTCTAGGGTTGTATCCGAAGGCGAAAAGATGCTTTGGCTGTAATTCATCTGAGGTGCTGTGTATCTCTCCTTATTCTCCTCCCCTGCTTGCTGCCATCCTACTTGGGCACCACTAGTTCGCTGCCGCCGTCCCTGCGCCGCCCCCTTCCCCATCCATCTGCAGCTAGGTGCTGTGTTGTCACACCTTTTCCCTCTTCTGCTGCTGGATGCTGTCCAGTCACCCTCCCTGCACCGCCCTTGCCTACCTCTGTTCCCTGCTGTCCAACCTCATCCCTTCCTCCTACGTCTGTTGTTCTGTCTGGCCGCCCTTCCTTAGACCTCCCACGACTGTTGCCAACTACTGCCCCCTACACCTTGCTCGCAAACCTCCACCGTCCAACCTCATCCCCCATCTACAAATCCCCGGTCCCACTACCTCAGCCACAACGAACCACTCTGTCCTCGCCCTAGTGTGTTGTGTTGCTGTTTCTCCCAGTTTTAAGAGTTTTTGTTTGTAACTTTTTTTAATTTCAGCAATAAAGAATTATTCGGTTGTGGTTTTGGGTCAACTTTGGTATCATAAGGGCTTTCAAATCTGTATTTGGAAATTAAAGCATAGGCTAATCTCGGACGAGCAGTTACAGGCATCGAATGGGAGCGAGAGCGAGAGTGGGTTTACAAATGACTTAATATTAAATAAGTTTAATTAATCTTATTAATAAATATTAAATAAGTTTAATTAACCTAATTAAATATTAATGACTTCATTTATTTTTTAACGTTGGTATGCATGTAAATGCCACTTTCACCATCTATGACTAACTACTGTAAGTTAGCAATATTAGGTTTGAGTCTAAAAGCTGACTCATGCTTTGGCTCCCCTCTTCGAACAGGTTAAAATTTTAACCGAAACCCTTGCCAGGATGATGGTTGAGCCTCGACGAGCATGTTTTTCCTTGCCTTCAAGGGATCTTAGAAAAAAAGCTGTGGGTGGACTACTTTCTGTCACTGTAGTATCAGTCAGTAATTTGCACGTCAATAGTGTGAAACGCAACAGTGTAGAGAGTCCACAGTGTTCATTAGCAAGCAGTCAGTCTTCAGCGGACTTCGGAAATCAAATTGAGCAGACATTTATTGAAGTCGAACTTGGTAGTTTGTCCAGGAAAACCAATTTTAGTAGGGGTTCAAATCCTGCATGGAATTCTGTTTTTAATCTGCTAATGCATGGAGATTCAGGCATAATTAGGTTTCACCTGTACGATGGGGGTCCAGATAGTGTAAAGCTAAATTACTTGAGCAGTTGTGAGATAAAGGTATTTTTATAATCAATTGACTCCAATTTTGTGTTTTCTCTTGATCGAAATGAAAGATAATGTTTTCTTATTTTTTCCAACAGTTGAAATATGTTGCAGATGATTCCACTACGTTTTGGGCAATAGGGCCTAAGTCTGGCGTGTTGGCAAAACATGTTGAGAACTGTGGGCAAGAAGTTAAAATGGTTATTCCATTTGAGGATACTAATTTTGGAGAGGTATATCTTCTTTAGATTTCTATAATTAAGGCTTCTCAATATGATTTTTTGTGCTTAGCGTTAATTAAAACTTGAAGGTTGTCAATTTGCAGTTTGGTTTGTGGATCTCGATCTCAAGTGTTCAATTAAAAATTTTTTTTTTTTTTTTTGTTGATTATTGCCCAAGGAGCTTTTTCAATATGACTATTTCATATTCCTTATTTCTGAAGTTCTATGAGATTTTTTATGACTTGTAGTTGTGATCAGGATTCGATTAGCAACAACTCGAACTTCCCAGACTTGTGTCTCTGTACTACCTATCCTTTATGTTGTGAAAGTGAGCCTGAAGAAGCACCCACAAGCACTCTAGTGCCTCCATGCTGGAGCTCCTGGGCCTGAGCATGGGTGTCTCTGTACTACCTATCCTTTATGTTGTGAAAGGGAGCCTGAAGAAGTACCCACAAGCACTCTAGTGCCTCCATGCTGGAGTTCCTGGGCCTGAGCATGACATAGCCTTGCCTAAAATAGGCGTAGCTATGTCCAACGACGGAACTATATCATAATGGGCGCAGCTATGCTGCGGGGGTCCTTTGTTCCAATTTTTCTTCTCGGGCAGGTGGAATATTTACACTGCTTTTGGGTGTGGTCACGCCGCTGGATAATTCTCTCTTGTTTGGTTCTTAAGCTTCAATTCAAGCAATGTAGGCGACTCTCTTGCATGCGATGTTTCTCGACAAGGATTTCTTCGTGAAGGTAGATTTTTGGGATGAGGATTTCAGATCGGCGAATTTCTCTTATGAGATTGAGAGGAAGGTTTGGAGCGAAGTTATGCAAGTTTTGGTGCTTATAGAGAGAAGATCTGAGTGGTGTAATCAGTATGTTTCATCCATTCATAGTTAAATTTCTTGGTGGTGCGGCTTCGTAGTTTTTTCCCATTCTTGAGGTTTTTCTCGTAAATCTTGGTGTGTTTTTTTCTGGGATTGTTTTTTATTGCTCTACTACTCAAAATTTTATTTTAATTTGCTCGAATTGTGCTATCCTATTATGCGGTGAGGTTTTACTAATTGATCAAAGCCCTAAGTGTATATTCCATTCCAATAAGAGGTATTAGAGATGGGTGTTTGATTTGAGTAGAAGCAATCACCGATGAAGCAAGATACAATGTGGAGAACTTCAATGGATTTAACTTCGCGTTATGGAGAATGTTAGTGGAGAATTTGCTGTATTAGAAAAAAAATATATTTTCCACTATAAGAAATCACAAAGAAACTTGAATCGTTGCTTATGGAGGAATGGGAAGTGCGGGATCAAACAATCTTGGTTTGATCCATTTTTCATTTTTCTTCGTCTGTTGCATTCAATATAGTAAATGAGAAAATCATGGTGGATCTCATAATGACACTGACTAAAGTGTATGAAGAATCTTTGCTTCAGATTTTGCCGATGAAGATGGTGGAAGACAGTTCAGTGACAAAACATCTGAACAATTTCAACACCGTAATGGGTCAGTTTTGTTCTGTAGGGATCAAATTTGATGATGAGGTCAGAGCACTGTTCATTCTGTCTTCATTGTCGGACAGCTGTGATGGTTGAACTTCGATGACATCGCAGTAACTTTTCTGGTATTATGAAGTTGAACTTCGATGACATTGTGAGGTTGGTGCAGAATGAAGAAGTTTGCAGAAAGGCATCAAATTGTGAATCTTTAGTTTTTTTGTTGTATGTTAAAAACAAGGGAAGGAAGCTGGACAAAATACAAACTGAGAAAGATTTAAGTCCAGAAGAGGAAAGTTCAGGTCAAGCAAAGGAAATGATAGAGTTGAATGCTGAAACTATGGAAAGAAATGACATTTTGAGAAGAATTACAATGCACCATGGAAAGCGGGTGGTGGAGGGCAAGAAATGAATCTCTCTACAAATGTCTCCACTGGCGAAATCAAAGGTGACTCCTTGTTGTTATCCTTAGTCAGTGCTGAATCTTGGATAGTAGATTCATGAGTTTCTCTTCATGCATAAAAAATTGCACTCAAAAATGAACTTGGAAAGCTTTATTTGGAAGACAAAAATGCCAACAATATTGTAAGAAAATGTGATGTGAATATAAAGTTGCCAAATAAAACATTTTGGAAACTTATTGAAGTTAGACATATTCCAAGTCTGATGAGAAATTTGATCTCAGTGATCTAGCTGACAAATTTCGGTTTTGTGACTAATTTCACAGTTGATTCGTGGAAAGTGACCACGGGGCAATAGTGATGGCTCAGGGTAATTTTGATGATACTCTTTACCTGATCTTGAGATGGTAGATTTCATTGATGTGATTGGGACCAAGGTGAATACAAGTCTATGGCAGTACTGGTTTGACTATAAGCGAGAAATGTATGAAGTTCTACTTTTAAAAAATAAAATTCAGGGTTTCAAATCCATAGATTTAAATTTTTGTGAATATTATATTTATGAAAAGAAGAAAAAAATTTCATTCTCTAAAGGTGGGTCAATGGTGAAGTAAAAAAAATTAGAGTTAATGCATATCATTATATGAGATCCTACCCTAGTTCAGCCTCTTGGGGATCTCACTACTTTGTTACGTGTATAAATGATCACACAAAAAACATATGAGCTTGCTTCTTAAAGCAAAATCTGAAGTATTTAAAGTGTTTAAGTAGAATGTCATGGTAGAAATGAGTCAGATTTGAAACTAAACTGTCTCAGATCAAATAATGGAGGCGAGTATGTTGATCAAATATATAAAAATTTTATGCTACACAGGAGATCAAACATGAGTTACTGTTATAAGGACACCTTAGTAGAATTGCATGGCTAAACACATAAATAGAGCAATCACGGAGCGTGCTAAGAGTATCGTGATCAGAAGTTCACAAATTTTCATGCTATAGAGGGGATCGGACATGAGTTCACCATTCTAAACATACCATAGCAGAAGGCATGAATAGAACAATCGCAGAGCGTGATAGGAGCATGAGATTGGATGCAAGCTTCCCAAAATAATTTTGGGCGGAAGCAGTGAATATTGTTATGTATCTGATTAATCGTGATCCATCCGTACCTTTGAAGGAAGGCTTATCTTAAGAATTTCACTGTTCCGTATATGTTCATGTTGATGCACGATCCAGGAGTAAGCTAGACACGCAATTTGTCAAATGCACCTTTATTTGGTATGGATCAGATGAATTTGAGTACAAGTTCTGGGATTATCAGAATCAGAAATTCATTAGGAGCAGAGATGTTAACTTCAATGAAATGTAGATGTACAAGGACATGAGAAGAACTCAGTATTTTCTATCAGTTACTTTGAAAGAGTCTAAGTATGTTGAAATAAAAGACATTGGTTATCATGAGAAAAGAAAAATGAGAACTGCTCAACCAGATAAAGCACAATAAGTTTCTCTATCACGTGCTTCTGAAGTCAGGAGGTTAGACAGAGTGTTAAATAATAGGATGATGACATGTAGTCTTAGGACTCAAATTGGATCTGGGATTTGATGCTATTGTCAGATGACAAAAGAACACTATATAACAAGTAGGTTTATAGATTGAAAGAGGAGTCAGATGGTAGCAGACATTGCAAGACAAGATTTGTTGTAAAGAAGTTTCCACAAAAGGAAGGGTGTATTGCATAAAGATTTTTTTCTCTCTTGATAAATGTGACAGCAGTTTAAGTTGTGCTGAATTTAGTAGCAGAGGAAGATCTACATTTGGAATATATGGATGTAAAATTAGTCTTCTTACATAAATATCGGGAGGAAGAATTGTATATAGTGCAACCACAGGGTTATGAGGTTCTGAGGTAAGTTGCAGGTTGAAGAAGAACCTCTATGGATTGAAGCAGGTCCCAAGATAGTGGTATAAGAGGTTTAATAAATTTTTGTCAGAAAGTGGGTACATAAAGTGCCAGACAAACCACTGCTGTTCCATTAAACACTTCGGTAAATGTTATATATTATTTTTTTTGGTATGCGGATGATATGTTGATTGCAGTGACATGTATGGATAAAATCAGGGACTTAAAAAGAACAATTATCAAGTGAGTTTGAGATGAAAGATTTGGATTCAACCAAGAAGATCCTAGATAATCAACAGAGATAGGAACGTAGATACACTGAAGTTGTCTTAGTAAAAAAATGTTGAGAAGATCCTACAGAGGTTTAACATGAGTAATGTAAAATCAATTTGCACCCCTTAATCACTTAAAACTACTAAGGAATTATTGCTGGCATCTAAAACAGAACAAATACCAATATGGAGAAATCTATATGCTTCTGCAGTTAGAAGTGTACTATATGCTATGATCTGTACCAGACAAGATATTGTACATGCAGTGAGAGTGGTGAGCAGGTACATGAGTGTTCCAGGAAATCATCATTAGGAGACAATGAAGTAAATTTTCAGTTATTTGAGATGAACAATCAACAACGCACTTTGCTTTGGAAGTGCAAAGATCAGTCTAGAGGATATTGTAGATTTAGATATGACAGAAGATTTGGATAGTAGAAGAAGTCAAACAGTATAAATCTTCACTTTGGAGAACACAGTGACGAGTTGAGTTTTTAGGTTGCAGAAGATTATGACGGTTTCAACTACGGAGGCTGATTACATTGCTATTATTTTGACTAGTAAGAGATGATTTGACTACAGGGCTTTATGATAGAATTGGGTAAGGAGCAGATGATTAGAAATCTTCATAGTGATAGTATGAGTGCGATTCATCTTATTAAGAGCGTTTCTTTTTATGTCAAGACAAAACATAATTTACTAAGGTATCACTATATGTTCACTCCGAGAAGATAGACAGTTGTTCTTAAAGAAGATACACACAACTCAAAATCCTGCAGATATCTTAATGAAAGTGGCGACTATTGAGAAACCAAAGCCATGCTTGGCTTTATTTGGAGCCTATGACGGTTGAAACCGTGGTTAAGATACCACAATGACACTACACTTGTCTGTTAGGGCCACAATCTCAAAAGTATCCTTTTTTTTTGTCAAGGACATCTTTCATGAATTTTTTAACATAACTTAACATGTGTTGTAAGACTTCTACACGAGTGATATTTACGGTTAGCTTTTTGAAAATCTCTAGAAACCTTGAAAGGGGTTGGTCCAATTTTTGCCTATGTGCTTCTTAGAAAAGGTGGTGGGCGTCTCTCTTGCTCCTTTCCTAATTAGTGAAATTGGTCTCTTTTAGTCCTCAGATGGGGTTTCACCTTTCATGAATCACTTATGAAAGTATTAGTGAACCCTGACTTTGCCAGTTGACTCACATAGATGAGATTTCTTTTCAAACTGAGAATATGTTCAACTTTATTAAGCTTCCAAACCATTTTATTTGGCAACTGGATGTCTACATCACAATTTCTTATAATATTGCAGACCTTATTTTCTCCTAGATGAACCTTTTCTAAAGCTCTCTAAGTGTAATTTTTGAATACCTCGGGCATGCATGAAAAAAGACATCTGAATCTAAGATTCAGTGCTGACTAGAGATAACACTAATGTGTTACCTTCAATTTCTTCAGTGGAGAATTTCGAAAAGAGATTCCTTCACTGCCCCCCATCAATTGCTTTCCTTTGAGCTTTGCAGTACTTCTTGAAATACTCTTTTTTTTTGCAGTTCCAACAGTCTTCTGTCATTTCCTTTGCTTGACCTGAACTTTCCTCTTCTGGTCTTGAATCTGTTTTTCCCATATTCTTGTCTAGATTTCTTCCTCTGTTATTCACATTCAACGCAAAACTTGAAGATTCATCATTTAATGCCCTTTTGCAAACTTCTTCATTCAACACCAACCTATGATACAATTGAAGTTCAACTTCATATTCCCAGAAGTGTCACTCACCACATTGACTGATCCATTCTAGTTGTCCGACAATGAAGGTAGAATTAGTAGTGTTCTGACATCATCTTCAAATTTAATCCCTACAGAACGCAACTGGATTGTTACAATGTGGAAATTGTTTAGATGTTCTACCACTGAACTGCCTTCCACCATGTTTATGTTGAATAATTTCTTAATAAAAAAAAATTATTTGAAACAGAAGGTTTTTCAGACATCTTTATTAGTGCCTCCATGATTTTCTCATTCACTATATTGAACGCTACAAATGAAGAAAGTGATAAACTAATCAAATTTAGTGTTGTTCGATCTAGTACCTTCCATTCCTCCATAGACATAAACTCGGGCTTCTTGGTGGTTCCTGGTAGTGGTAGATATAGTTTGATATAGTAAATCTTCCACTTGTATCATCTAGACTGTGAAGTTTGACCCATTGAACTTTTTCACTTTGTGCCTCGTTTCATTGGTCATTGGTCGAACCTGAATCAAAGAACTTCCATTTCGATACCACTTTTTTGGATGAAAAACTTGTATACTTTTGGGGCATTGATCAATTAGAAATCAAAGCCACACCGCGGAATAAAATCACACATATTCAAGAAATATGGAATAAAAATCGAATAGAAGAATAAAAAAAAAAATCATAAAAAAGCACACTAAGATTTGATATGGTAAGACTCCAGAATGGGAAATTTCCACTATGAAGAACCGGAAATGCATAAAATACTCACTTAGATATCCTTTCTACAATCAATGGAATTTAGGGGACTTTGTTCCAAACCCTTCCTCTCTATCTCACAAGAGAAATTGCATGCCGAAATTTTCCTTCTCGACTCTTCTCTTCTTCTCGAGAAACCTATCGAGACACTGCGTGCGAGAGACTCAAAATCTCAAACATAAGAGACTGTTCCATGAAAAACCATCCGACGGCGTGATCACACCCAAAAGTGACATAAATATTTTGTGTGCTCAGGAAAAGACTCGTACCGGGCACAAAGGCTCACCAAAGCGGCACGGGGGTGCTACAGACCTTGGCGCGAGCGCGCCTTATAAGGGCACGAGCGTGCACGACTTGTCTGCAAGCAACAAAAACAGTTTGGTGCTCCCTACTGATGCCAATCAAGCCCCATACACAACAAAATTTTGGTGTGCTTTTCTTGGGATTATTTTTTGTTTCGAAATTTTGTTCTAGATTTCTCGAATTATTGTGATCCTATTCCACAGTGCGGCTTGATTTTTTAATTGATTGAAGCCCTAAGCGAATATTCCATCCCAACACTTTGATTTTAGACTTGTATTCTTTTGCACTTACATCAATGTGCAACACTTTCAACACTTGAAATCATTCTCATTATGTCTTTTTCTAACTATTTTGGGTCAGATTTTGAATCAGTATCCATGAATTCTTTTTGAGTGTCATGTAGGTGTTAATTCTAGTCTATAGGAGTTTTTCTGAACGACTTATTCTTATGTCATTTTTGGCCTATCCCTTTCCCTCTAATTTTTTTTATGTGATTTCTATTTTCACGCATTGTTGATGGATCTGCTCTCCACTTAACCATAGTATAAAGGTCCTCGTAACTTTTTAGCAATTGAACGCCCAAAACATACTAGCTTGTGGCAAAGAAAATTCACTATGTGCGACATCGCGTCTAAATGTGATATTTAACCAGAAAATCTAGACGAATGTTTACTATTCTTGTTGAATAATATATCCAGCGTATGCTTGAATTGGATGCTGGTCACATTCAGAATTTTCTTTCGATTTTCTTACTTTTGGAGCGTGAATATTGGTGATACTTAACAAAATTCATCTGTTTTACCTATATTTCTATTTAAATTATATATATGTAGGAGGTTTACATTTATATTTAACTGCAGTTAACCATCCGGCTCGTCTTAAAGGAGTGGCAGTTTTCTGACGGTTCCGTTACCATGAGTAGATCTTCAAACGGTCTTCAGTCGTCCATGTATGGCTCATCAAACTTACTGCTCGGAACTGGAAGGAAACTTAGTATAAGTGTAGTAGAAGGAAGGAGTCTGACCACTAAAGATAAATCTGGAAAGTGTGATCCTTATGTAAAATTAGAATATGGAAAGGTGATGTTTTTTCAGCTGTCTTTGTTTCTCTTTTCACCAAGGACATCAATAATCTCTTGATAATAATGATAAGTTTTTCCCTCTTCAGGCTCTCCAGAGAACAAAGACGATATATCATACTACAACTCCCGTGTGGAATCAAAGTTTTGAGTTCGATGAAATTGGAGGAGGTGAATATCTCAAGATCAAATGTTACAATGCAGAAAAATTTGGTGATGAAAATATTGGAGGTGCAAAGGTAAGCTTAGAAGGTCTTTTGGAAGGATCTTGCAGAGATGTGTGGATTCCCCTCGAAAAAGTAAGCTCTGGAGAGCTGAGACTTCAAATACAAGTTACGAGGAATAGTGGCCATGAAGGACATTGGGTAAACTGTCCGACTTATTGAGATATTTTTGGTAATATATTAAAACAAGAAAGCTGAAATAAGCAAACATCTGTTGTTTTAGCTGTTTTCTAACATTGAATTTGTTATAGAATTTCTTTTTGATTCACTTTCTCGTAATTAAATAACTTTCTTGTGCTATCCCATTCCTAGCTGTAACATTGGTCCCTGAGGGTAACTTTTGAATTCTGCAGAATTCACCACAAAGGTCATTTTCAGCTGGTTGGGTTGAGTTGGTCCTCATTGAAGCTAGGGACCTTATTGCTGCTGATCTAAGAGGAACAAGCGATCCTTATGTTAGGGTTCATTATGGTAACCTGAAGAAACGTACAAAGGTTACTCTTTGCATTTTTTTAAGTGTTTGGATAATAATCTTACGGGGATTTGCATACATAGTACACAATTTTTATATATTTACATATCTAACACTTAAACTTTACTATTTTTAACATAACATTTAAATCTTTAATATCACACCAAAAGTACAAGAAATATTAATTTTTTTAAATGAAAATATATGTTTTGATGGCATGACACTAGTGTTATATAATTAGATATGGAATTTTAGATGTTAAAAACATAAATAAACAATAATTATGTGGCAGATATGTAAATCCCTCTAGTATTTCATGCTTAAATTTTTTCTTTTATTTATTTTGTTTTACCCTTATTCGTGCTACAATAATATCTAATTCAGAGGGTTCCCAGAAACATTTACAGAACAACATCTGTCTTAATCCGCCCGGGACATTAATGTAATAATGAGACCTACACTAGCTCTGCAGCTTTTTTGTTTTACAGAGAACTTAAACTATTGTATCCTAGGAACTCAATCAAGAAAATGTTTGAATGTCTAATCAAACTTGTTGAGCATACTCCACGGTTTACCTAATTACATCTGTTGTTGAATCACAAACATAAACAGATGCAGGATAGGTCTTGATTTAATAGACCTAGAGCATACAGACTCTTGAAATTCTACCTAAAATGAAATAAATGCGATTAAAAAATTCTAAAATATTAACTATTCATTAAAGAAAATTATAACAAGGTGATTCTGTCAGGCTGTAGGATTAATGCAGAAATCTGGACAGAAATTTCCGTACTTTTTATCTACAGAATTTGTTGAAATGACGATCCATGTAGTGCAAAATGTATAATAAAACAAAAATCTGTGACATTTCTTAATGTGACGATACATTTATATACTACAAAAGATTTTTGAAAAGCCAAAATGTTTAGGCAAGATTTTTGATCTTAGACTGGATGCTTGCAGCCTGGTTGTTTGTTAGTTGACTATTGATATAGTGGATTAAGTTTAATGGTAGATTCAAGACTTACCCCACTAATAAGAAGCTTGTAAACACAAAACACATCTTTCAAGCGAAGAAAATGACTAAAGATTATTCTTTTTCTATAGATCCATCAAAACAAAGCACTAGGTTTGAATATCAAGTTATTCATGAATTGAAACCAGGAAGGAACTAACCTAAAGAGATACTGAAGGTTAATAAAAAGTCATTGGACAATAAAAGAAAGGGAAGGAAAACTAGGACTTTTGGCATGGTCTAATGCGGCACTCTATGTATGATATTAAGATTCTGTTCTCTTAGGAAAAGCTAACGCTTATCCTTGAGACTTCTCAAATGGCATTAAAGAAAACTCACGAGTGGTCTTTTCTTGAGGTTTATTAAGTTCGTTTAACCCAATTTCCCTTGGTGTTGTATTATAATTTTTTTAGACCTTGGGATCAAGACTTGTTATTGGGTATGCTTCTGGGAGAGCACCCTCGATTAAGGAGGCTGTTTAGGCTCATACCTGGGAGAGCACCCTCGATTAAGGAGGCTGTTTAGGCTTTGATTTGATAGTTATATGTGAATTTAATTGGGGAATGGAGGTAGATCCAATCAAGATCTTTTGATTTGATCATATGGGGTATTTTAGTTGATCCAACCCACAAATGTTAGAAGGTTATAATAGTGAGTTGTCTCATATCAAATTTTGGTGTCAGGATGAGGTTAAAATTTTTGTTTCGAAGATGCTTTTTGGAGGCTAATGTCGTCTCATTCACTGGTCAAAGGCTGATTGTATCAATTTGCTAATGTCGTCTCATTCACTGGTCAAAGGCTGATTGTATCAATTTTGACAAATTAGTCAGAGGCACATAGCATGGGTATTCATAGTTTGAGGTACTGGACATGATAAAAAAGAGCTCAAAAGCATATGTGAATCACTCTCAGGCTTGATTATCAAATGCACAAGAGGTTTAAGTTGACTTGAAGAAGTTGTTTAAGACACGAGGTATGTATTTGTGGGTCTAATTTTAATTAATGTACATGTTGATGTGAGAGTTGACCCTAGTTTAATTTTAAATAAGACTTATAACTATGGGAAGGACAATGATTTAATATATTGGGTTTTTTGGCTTTGTGCCAACTCAAATATTTTGGCATAAAGCTTACATTCTTTGGAAGATTCATAAGCGACGTACAATCCAGTGGGAGAGGAAAGCTCCATGGATTTTGCAATCTTAACTTACAGTTAACAGTGGCTTGTTTGATTTGGTTTGGTTGGCTGACTTGCTTTATGCCAATGCCTAAGTGGAGAACTTGTTCGAATTTGTTATTTTAAATTTTAATAGGAGGATTCGGGCTTACTGCTTTATTTGTTAGAATTCAAATTTACAGCATTCTGTTTAAAAGGATCTGACCTAAAGTTTATAGTCTTTGTCGGACATGTCCAAATAGTCTATTTATTTGCCAATATATTTTCTTCGGTAATCGTCACTTTAACCATTCCACTAATAAAATCATTACTTCATTTTATTTTCTAGTATCATTATGCATCCATATTGAAGTTCTTATTTTTATTACCTCAACTTATATATATATATATATATTATATATATATAGAAAAAGCCCAAAGGCTAATATATTAAAGAGGAAAATGTGCATATAGGTTGTATGAGAGGGCCTAAAAGAAGGCCCAACTCACACAATACAACAAACACAAAATCCCAAATAAAACAACGATACATAAAGATAAAAAACCAAAAAACCACCAATAGACGTAAAATTGCTAGGGAGGTCCCACTTTAGTCCTCCTTCTGCCTCTAGTTTTCGGAAGGGAGCCGACTAACTAATTGGTAAGGTACGTACCATTACCCGAAGTGATCAAAGTATCATCCATCAGATTTCTGAGCTCAACTAGCTCTCCATTCTTCTTCTTCCTCCTGGATGTGTAGACCTGTCATTCCTCATCCGAGGATTGACTCATCTGGTCAATGGATTGGTCCAAAGGTGGCTGGATAGGTGTAGACTGTTGCACATCATGATCCCCATGAGCCTCAGTAACATTAACATCTGGCTAGACCTGATGAGGCGGTAGTGAAACAGTAGAAGTAATGTCACCTGTAATATTAATGATAAGTTATAGGACAGGTGGAGTTTGAAGAGTCTCCATCGCCCCTACAATAGGAGGTTCCAAAGACGGGGGAACTACAACATTGTGTGGAGATTATGATCCCCATGAGCCTTAGTAACATTAACATCTGGCTAGACCTGATGAGGCGGTAGTGAAACAGTAGAAGTAATGTCACCTGTAATATTAATGATAAGTTATAGGACAGGTGGAGTTTGAAGAGTCTCCATCGCCCCTACAATAGGAGGTTCCAAAGACGGAGGAACTACAACATTGTGTGGAGATTAAATGATTGACATATTGCCTGCGAGGATAGTGACGTCTTGAGGGTTATCCTTTTGATGATCAATAGTGTCAATAACTTGGAGCTGATAGAAGGAGATGAATTCACTGCCTCTGGTGGAGCACTTTGCTTATTTGGTCTGAGGTGAGAGTATAGATGATGACATTGAGAACTGGGTGGCCGAACATACGACAGTTCGAACAATATGAAGAAAAATGTTCAATCACTACTTTTTACCAATATCCATTGTGCCGTGTGCCCAACCAAATTTCCTCAGAAGCGGATGAAGTGATATCTCTTTCAACAAGTACTCTTGTTTCAGATGGATGAGAAAGATTAAAAGTAGGAATGTCCGTTTTAAGTGGCTTACCATAAGATGAGGCATAAAGTACAACACTTTTTGAGTAAAATAATGAAATTTCAGATCAGGGAGGCGAATCCAAACCAGAATGATTGGTGGTTTCGTTTGTGGGTCAAAATCCACAGACCATTTCAGAATCTTCATTGTTCTGTTATCAATCCAAATTATCCTTTTAGCAAATAAGCGCGTGTAATCTTCTTCATTATGAAGTTGAATAAGATGTGTCTTCCATCTAATAGTCCAATTTTTCACTCCCCAACAAGGTGCATAAGCTCAAATTCCTTACGAATAAGCTTCATTTTGGGATGAAATTACAGAAATTTCTCGACTAAATTCAGACGACAAGAGGAAGCAAGTTCAATACCTTCAGCTTCTGTAAAAAAGGTGGCAGTCTTTCTATTCTTCCTACCATGTTCTTGATGTCTTTCACACACTCAAATGAAAGAGTGAAAGAGCATGATTTAGGTGTACCTGAGAAAACCCGTATGAGATTCTATAGAATAAGAAAAGGAAGAACAACACGGTGGGTTAGGAAAAATCCAGAAAGTAGGATGTTTCCCCCGGTATACAACGCACCTAAAAACTCCAAAAGATAGTTACATGTATACCTAAAAAACATATTAAAAAAGAAAATATAGTGAAATAAGAAGAAAAGCAAGTAAAAGGAGAGAAATGCGGTATAACAAAAGTTAAAATAGTCATCTGAAAGAGGCTATTCCTCGGCAGGAGTGGCAGAACTGCGAAGAGATGTGGATTAATAGAGCAGAAAATCCTCCCCAAAAGCCAGAAACTGAAGACCATTAGGGTGAAAGGAGCCAATAAGCCATATCATGGTGAACATCTGACATAAGAGTTTCCCCTTAAAAGTAAAAGTTCCTTGGGAGGCTCCAAACCAGTAGAAACACCAAAAAAATCACGTTTAGCTAACCAACCCGCTGTTGCATTTCCCTCCATATATATAAAATTCCATATGACCTGAAGATCATGAGAAGCTATAAATTGCCAAATCTTATTAAGAAACACTTAAATTCCAAGGAGGCTCTTGTTTTCTAGTGATGAAATCCAGAAGAACAAAAGAATCCCTTTCAATAAAATTATAGGCCAATTAAAAGTAACAACAACATTTAGAGCCAGAAATACTGCCAAACCCTCCGCTTCAGTAGGAATTAAAACCCAAACAGGAGAAGAAAAATAGAAGAGACACTTGTTGAAATGATTTCTGAAAATGACCCCAACACCGATCGAGCAATTTTTCCAATTTTCATCAATAT